TGTGCATTATGATAGGCCTAGTTTTCGGGGAGCTTTCCAAAAGCGACTATGTCATTGCTATAAAAATAGGCTAATTTTAGGAAAGCCTACAGAGAGCTGCGGGTGGGATGGGGAGCGGGGAAGATAAGATAAAATTAGGTCATTGTAAATCTAAGCCAGGGCGAGCTTATGGCCGGCGGCCGCAGTAACGTTCCCCGCGGCTGGCACGATTCTAATTTCTCTCTTAAAGTAAGAACTGCAACACACTTTCCATGTCTCTATCTTAATGCTAGCACGAAGTAACCGTTAATCTTAAATCATGGCAAGCAACCTAAACGAAGACCTGAGACAAAGGCTAGAGCAAGCCTGTTCGGACATTAGCAAAGAAATATGGGGCAATATTACGGTGGTTAACCTACCATGGAATCATTTCCCTAAGATCAACAACTCCTCAAATAAGAGTAGCAGAGACTTGATTGATGAGAGCAAGGAAATCTTCTCATTGTTTTACGAGCGCTGGAAGAGAGTCTGTCTACCGCTACAGGGTGCGACGCACCTGGAGGAGGACGAAGAATATCCACTCGAGTATCTAGAGAAGCTGCCTCGGATATGCATTCTCTTAAATACATTGGACGTTATAGACTTAATCGACAATGTCCCTGGTGACGACGAGGACCTACCCTTTGGAAAAGACAAGCTCGATTTCCTCCCCGACAAAAAAGTATCGGAATTTCTGGAATGCCAAAAGTTCTTCTTGAGAGATATCCCCCAGGACGGAGCGGTATGGTTAGAACACGAACTACCCCCTTTTAAAGAAGACAAACATCTTGGCAAGGGAACATCAGGTACAGTATCAAAGGTCATTAACGTGCTTAGCAGCAAGTCCTTCGCACGCAAGCTCTTTTCCTTAGGTACTGAATCTTCAAAGGCACACCAGTCGGAGATGGAGAAGGTTGTAGCCGAGATACAGCACTTGCAACGACTAGCAGGAGCCTGCCATATTGTCCAGTTGCATGGGTCTTATCTACGTGGGACAAAGGTGGCCATTCTCCTACAGCCAGTAGCTGAGAAGGATCTCGAGGGGTATCTACTAGACTTTGCTCCCGCCTCAACTCAGTCGAAGAAGGCGAAAAAGAAGGTCCTTTACCGTCTATTTGGGTGTCTCTGCATTACACTCCAAAAAATCCACGGAGGAAAACTTCGGCATAAGGATATCAAGCCAGCGAATATCCTTATTCATGGAACAAACGTTCTCTTTACGGACTTCGGTAGTGCGATAAAGTTCGGGGACGGTGGTAGAGGTACGACTGTGAGTGAGGATCCTAAGGGGCATAGCCCCATGTATGCGGCTCCAGAAGTATGGAAAAAAGAAGCAAGAGATGTAATATCCGACGTATTTTCATTAGGGTGCGTGTTCTTGGAAGTAATTACAGTTCTTGCTGGAAGGCCTATTGACGACTTAAAGAGGGCCTTTGATCACGGATATGGTCAAGATCTCCCACGGTTAAAGAAGTGGTTAGAAGACCTGGAAAAGAGCTCCAGCAATACAATGCTTTCACTGCCAATCCGGTGGTGCTCTCGAATGCTTGAGGAGAAGGTATCTCGCCCTGACACAGGCCAATTAATCAGGGAGATTATACAAGACAGTCGGGAGGGTGCGTCCTTGGATAATTATTTTTGCGAAGACTGCTGTAGGGCGCTTGCACTTTTCGCATTGCAGGCACCGATCCCTGCTACCCAGAGTGCGTTCCTAGTCTACTCATCTGTAGCAACGTTAGAACTAACAGTTGATTGACAGGAGCAGAGGTTAAACCTGAGGACAGTAGTGGAACCTCAGTAGCGCTATCTGCGTTGTCTCACTCCGAGGCAGTTGCGAACGCGAAAGCCAGCAATGACGCTTTAAATACCATGCTCTGTATGCTGAATAAGAAAGAGGGTAATACTAGCGCACAGGAAATGGACGGGAATACGGCGTTGCACCTGGCTGCGCGAGCTGGGAGCGTAATGGCGGTACAGAAGCTACTAGAGGAGGGAGCCGATCCCAAGGCACGGAACAAGGATGGAGACACGGCGTTGCACCTGGCTGCGCGAGCTGGGAGCGTGATGGTGGTGCAGAAGCTGCTAGAGAAGGGAGCCGATCCCAATGCATGGAACAAGGATGGAGACACGGAGTTGCACCTGGCTGCGCGAGCTGGGAGCGTGGTGGCGGTGCAGAAGCTGCTAGAGGAGGGAGCCGATCCTAAGGCACAGAACAATGATGGAGACACGGCGTTGCACCTGGCTGCGGGAGTTGGGAGCGTGATGGCGGTGGCGAAGCTGCTAGAGAAGGGAGCCAATCCCAAGACACAGAACAAGGATGGAGTAACGGCGTTGGATGTTGTGCTACGCATGAACCGGCCGCAGGCTTAAACCATATATTGAGCGGCAAGCTACCCCTGTTATTAAGAAAGCGAATATATTTCTTTGTAGTGCTAGCCTATAGCTCTGTTCTAATTTATTAAGGACCTACTAAAACTCTAAACTAGACTTCTTATTAAAGTTGTTAGTCTTGTCTATTTAGAGAGAACTTTAAAGTAAACTCTATAAACATCCTATTTAATCTCTTCTAACTATATAACTTCTAACCCTGTCTTAAGTTTTATAGATTGTGCCTTTATATCTGTGTCAACATAGTAAAGAGTTTAGTTGATATAGTTACATGTAACTGTTGCTGCAGGTTATAGACTTTTACTAACCCACGCTTGCTCTTAAAATTTTATAGATACGCCTAATTTATGCTTCTATGCCTATACAACTGTTAAAGTCCTTAACTTATAATAATTATACTAGCTAGGTTAGAGTAGTTGTGATAGGTTAAAGAACTTAGTAGTTAGTTCTTAGAAATAGAGCAGAGATGTAAAGCACAAGAGCAATAAAGAGTATTTAGTAAATAATCTATTCTAATTGCAAGTAAAGGTAGAAGTAACTATTAAGTGTACTATTAAGAGTGACTGTTAAGTTAAACACAAAATGCTGTAGAGGCCTTTTATAGAGTCTATATACATGCGTGTTGTAAAGCCGGATGTCCTAGAACAGGCTAGTACAGCCTTACCTGACCTGTTTAGAGGTTATGTAACCTGTGCTTTGTATATAAGCATAAATCCTAACAAGTAAGGCTTAGCAGCAATTTGTCTCTTTTATAATACACTTTTATTTTTCTCTAAAACCTTACTCTTAGTGCTATTAGTGCTATCTACTATTCTATTTTTACATTTAAATTGCTCTATAAGCTAGCATACTGCTTAAGAGCAACATTCTTATAAAATAGTGTTAACATAAAATGCTAGAAAAGAATTATATGTAACTAGCGCTTAAAAATTACTTAAAAAGCTAACTAAAACTGCTACTTCTAGTAATACTTAACTAAAGTTAACACTAACATAAAAAGAAATAAAGCAAAAGATAAGTAAAAAAAATAATAAAATTTTTTATATTTTAAGTTTATTAAGCTATTTAGAAGGCGTTTAGGGCCTAAAAGAGGTTAAAAGGGCTAGTGTAGAACTAAGCAACGCATAGTCTACTCTTATAAATTAAGCTTTAGTAGAAGCCTACGCCTAGCTGCAAAAGCAGCAGAAAGTGTAAGAACTAGCTAGAATAATAGAAATTTATTATTAATTTAAAGTAGGTAATATAGATATACTTAATAAGTTACTAACTAAAGTATTAAATGTTATTATACTAAAACCTGCCTAAGACTAAGTAACCCTACTGTAAGGCTAGGATAGCGCTTATGTGTAAGGCCAAGATGGTGCTTACGTGCAACAGGTATATATACTATTCTGCACCTAAAAATTAACGTTAGTTAATTATTTGTACCTTTTAGTTGTATTAGCAGAGTGGTGCGGAGCCCTGTTCTTACACCTACTATGTCCTAAACTGCCGCACTAATATAAAAAGAAGAATAGAGCAGACTATAACTAGTAGTGTAAAAATAATAAGAACTATTATTAAAAAAGTCTATTAAGCTTTGCTTAAAAATTATAAAAGATCTCTTTTAGCCTATAATATATTAATAAGATACTAATGTACTTTATAAGTAAGTTGCTTATACACCTAAGTTACTTACTTTTACTAAAACCCTACTATACTACTTTTTTTACACTAATGTATTTCTAATAATACTACTTAGATGTGTTAAAGAAATATTAGATGCAGCTTATACTCTAAAATTTTAAATAAAACATAATACTTTTTAAGTAACACACTATAGCTATTTATAAAGTTTTTTAAAAAATAACAAGTAACTAATGTGCTAGATAACTTTTTTAAGCTAATTATATAGCTAACTTATAAAAGCTAAATAATAATAAAAAGTAAGTAATTATTTAGCACATACGTAAGCTAAATACGCAAGGATTTCCCCTCTAGCTAGCAGCTGTGGCTAATATAGCTAATTCTTTACACACTAAGCATAATATAGGCTATATTAGTATAAACTAGCTTAATATATTTATTAAGTATTACTTAAAGCTTAAAGTAAAGTTTAAGTGTAAGTATAACTATAAAAAAGCTTTTTATAAAAATTTTATAGTAATTTAAAGCTAGTTTAACTTTATAAAAAATATTAAAGCTAAGTATAGTATTTAAAATAAGTACATGTATAACTTTAATAAAATAAAGTTTATAATAAGCTAAATATTTACTAAAGTAGTTATTATAAGTTTAAAAAGATAAGAACAGCTAAAAGCAGTCTAGCTAGGTAACTAGAAGTAGATAATAGCTATTTAAGGCATTAATGCTAAAAAGTAGGCTATTTTACTTTTTATTATTTTTTAGGGTAGCAACTACTTTTTAAACTAGTATAAAAAGAAAAATCTACTTTAGAATTAAGTTATTATAATTTTTAAGTATAGCTAGACTACTTATTAGCTTAGTTTAAACTAGTTAAAGCACTTTAATGTGTATATAAAAAAGTATACTGTTAGTAGCTACTATCTGCTAGTTATTAATAGCTATAAAAGCTATAACTTACTTTATTTTTAGTAATACTATAAAAATAATAAAACTATTACTATTTATATGCCTTTTTACTTATTATACTTTTTATAGCTATTTAATGTAGGTTATTTTACTTTTTTAAAAAAAGTATATAGGCGCTAAGCTAAAAACCTAATATATAACTAAATTACTTATATTATAAAAATAAAGTTTTTACTATGCTTTAAAGTAGCTTATAATACTATAATTACTTTTAATAATAATTAAAAAAAGTTTTAAGGTGCTAAATTAGTTTTTTTTTTAACTTATAATAAGTTATAATAAGCTTTAATGTAAAGTTATGCACTCTATTACTACTACTACTTATATATAATAAGCCTTAGCAGTTATAAACCTTAAGTAATACTTTAAAACTTAAGTTATAATTAATGCTTATAAAAATAAAAATTTAGAAGTATATAAATAGTTTACTAACTTTTATAGTTAAGGTATTTAAAAAGGTTTTAAAAAAGGCAGTAATAATTATATATAAGCTAGTATTAGTGTAATAAAAAATTACTAAGCTTTAAGTAGCTAATAAGGCTACTACATAACATAAATTATATAAAAGAAAGTAGATTAAAGTAAAAAAAACTTTAATAATTTAAAAAAGCTTATACTTAATAGCTTTAAAAAAGTTTAAAGCGCGCAGTAACAGAAAGAAGGTAAAGAAGTAGGTGTAAGCTAAAGTAGGTAAGCTATTCTAAAGGCGCTACAAACAGTGTAATTAGACTAGACATAACATGTAAATGTGTAAGTAAGAAGTAGAAGTAGTATCTAAATAATATTCTAGGCTGTACTGTACTATATAGAGCTAGAGCAGGTTATTATAGGCTATAATAGAGTTTGTTAGGGTAGGGTCTTAGCAAAAGTAAGCAACTTAGGTGTGTAAGCAACTTGCCTATAAAGTACGTTATAACTATTATAAAAAACACACTACACTTATTTAAAGCTTACTAACTTATTATAGTTACTAATATAGCAAGATTTTAAAAATAAGATGCTTAATACATTAAGTACTTTAGCAGAATAAAAAAGAGTACCTTATAACACTATAAAAAATTATAAATAGTAACTTAATTAGTTTCTAACTAAACTTTTAGCCTATCTTAAGCTCTTATAAACTAAAGTTAACAAAAAAAGCCTAAATAAAATAATAGTAGACTTTAGTAGGGCACTATCTAACAAGATTAAGCGTAATCTAATGTATATTCTATAGAGTAAGCAAGAGACGCTACCTTAGGTAGAGGAGCAGAGCAATATATTTTACTGCTGCATATAGAAAAGAAAAGAGCTAAAGTTAAAAAAAAAAGAAAAGAAAAATATTCTACTTTACCTCTAGCTAATAAGAACCTAAAGAAGCTTAAAAAAAATAAAAAAAAGCCTTTAAGCTAAAAAAAAAGCTAAAAATAGTAAAAATTT